CTGAGTCATAAAATGAAACAAAAAAAGATTAGTGTTACGAGACTTCAGCTGATATGCTCTGATGATTCTTCAAAGGGAAAAAGCCAAAACATACTACAGCCTAAAATCAAACAGGCGGTAGATCTGAAAACAATTAAGTGTGCTACTGCCACATCCGCATGCTACTCGGCCAACTTCTGCTCCATCTGCAGACTGCAAGTGAGGGGACGGAAACTCAGACTGGAGGTACAAGAAGCAAAAGCAGCACTCACGAGAACAAAAGGAATAAGCAAGATTATGAGGCAGGAAAGCAGAAAAACAAGGAGTGTGGAAAGAGACCTTCCAAGTAATTCAAAAAAGCTGCAAGTAGCACAAAAAAAAAAAAAACCCTCCTGAAAACTGTAAAACTCAGACTGGGAGCTGACAGCTGCCCCTCCTCCCCCTGCATTCAGAAACCAGCTTGACTCTGCTGTTAATTCTGACACTAGCTTTGTTTTTATAGACGTATAAAGCTCTCATATAATGAGGCAATTATTCAGGTCTGTGCAGGACCACCAGATGTGGGCAGCATACTGCATTTGCTGTTTATACCAATGAGCAATTGCTGGATCCTGCTGGAGAAAATCAAATTCCCGACCACTGCTCCCTCCCCGGAGTTGCTCAGAATCCAGCTGCTTTGTGTTAAAACGAGATCATGAAAGTTGGCTTTAAATCCTGGAGGAGGAAAATACTGGAGTGGCACTAAGGTCTGTCCTATGTGTAGTTGAGAAAAGCAGAAATGCCGTTAATCTCACTAATAACAGTTTTTCTGTGCATTCTGTGAATTTCCCAACAAACATTCATTAAATTCAATCCTGTTTTTAAAGCTTCATTCATTTTTGGCCACTTGGGGGCAGTAGATCAAGTTGTAAACAAAAGAGCAACAAGTTAGTTACCTGATGATTGCAAACAATCCGAGTCATGTTAGCTTTATTCTCTGTAGATGATAAAAGCTGCACTTTGGGCCTTTTCACACCTAACTCGCTTAGTGTGGAATTTTCTTTGGCATGAACTGAAAATTATAGGTGTGAAACTTACCACAGACCATCAGGCACCAAACAGCCAATCCTGAGACTGACAAAGAGCTGGATCAAACTGAACCAGGGTTTAGTTTGTTTCCAGTGTCAAAACACTCTTGGATGGTTTGGAATTTTGGACCAATGACAGGAAGAAGAAAAAGGGGCTGTCATCAGCACTAAAAGAAAAGAAATGAGCCATGGCAGCAGAGGTAGGTCATGTAAAGTCCTTCAGTGTGCTCACATAAGCTCTTTGAACTAAAACTACAAGGATAAAATCTATGCAGTGTAACAATAAATAAATGAATAAATAATCATGGTATGGACTTTCAGGTTCACCAACTAGTGGTTAATTATGTAGTTGAAGTTTTATGTCAAGCACACCAAAGAACTGTAGCATGCATTGGTTTAAAATGTCTTTTTTATTTCAAATAATTCTGCCTCTGGAAGTAAAGTTGATGAGAGCTAAAAGAATAAATAAAAACAAAATAGGTTTTGGAACACACGATCACTGGAATAAAGGTGCTGCACCAAAAGCTTCCTTGTGCTTGCTAGCAGACTGCCACGATTTGCCTCCAGTTTGAATGGAATACACCCACTAGCACTAGCTAGTTTGCTAGCAGCACAGTAGTAATTGAAAAGTTGTGATGTAAACTGAAAATGGAGACAGGTCACCTTCAAAAGGCACTACTCTTACTTTGAAGGCAAACAATCTCCATCTTTATATGTGTCGCACATTTCAGTTTCGCCACAATTTAGAGAGTAGTTTGCAGAAGAGTCTGCATCTTCCATGCAGTCTGCAGAAAAATGCACATTTTTCCCTAGCGACCAGCGGTTGCCAGTTGGTCTCTAGCCCTTTGCTACTGGGGCCTTAATCACTTGAACCCTACACTGTGGTGCACAAAAATGGCTGACAAGTTAGTGTCACATGACTAATGGTCATGTGACAACAAAAGCCCCAAGAGCATGCTGGCAGGCTTAGCTTCAAAAGCTCAGCAGACACAGTGCAGTTCTTATTTAATCTGTGCACAGCATTAATTCACTATATTAGTCTTCCTATGCAGCAATAACCTGCAACATCTATGTTAACACTGCATCAATCAATAAACCACCCACCAGGTGGAACACACAACACATTAAGTCTCTGTTTAGTATAGATATAAAGACAGAACAGCAGTCTTATGCTGTGCAGTTGTAAAACTGAAAGTACAGAACTGGCTTTAATAGTTTTGTTGTATTAATTATGAGTGTACAGCAGCTGTATTAATAGGCAGTACTGTTTGGGGGGGTTTTATTGTTTCTTTTTAAGAGTTACCAAAGTATATTAGAGCCATAACCTTTACATATTAATAAATTCTTAATGAAAACTCATATTAGTGCAGATCAGAGCTTTAAGTTAAGGTTTTGTGCATTTTCCCATACCACTGATTATGTGGAAATTTGGTAGTGGTTACGTGTTTTTGTGCTCCTAGCATCGTGGCTAGCATAAACCCTGCTTTCAGCTATTGTGTCACACGTGGCAATCCACACAAGGCAGCAGCAGGCTCAGCTGAAAAGCTGCTATAATGTAGATAATGCACATAAAACGCCATCATTCCCTTCAGAGCGCCAAGAAAAGGAAAGACAGACAGAGAGAGAAACAGAAAAGAGGAGGGAGAGAGAGAGGGAGAGAGCATTTATAACTTCCTGGGGATTCACTGGAGAAGCACACACACACACACACACACACACCACAGAGGGTTGATTTCAGCATAGAGAAATGTGCTGACCTGCACTAAGCAAGAGCCAAGGGCAACAAAACACTAAATACAAACGCTCCTCTCTGAGCTGGGTACTTTCCCTTCAGTGCTTACACATGTTTAAAACGGAGTGTCTGCCTGCTTCTGAGAGAGCGTATGCTGTGTGTGTGTGTGTGTGTGTGTGTGTGTGTGTGTGTGTGTGTGTGTGTGTGTGTGTGTGTGCGCGTGCTTGTGTGTGTGAAAGAAAGAAACAAAGTACCCAAACTACACATTTATGATTCATTTCAAAATAATCCCTCAAATCTCTGCAACACTATCTCAGTTGTTACTGTATCAGCTGGTTAATGAACCATTTTGGGAAATCTCCTCCAACAGACTCCACCTTTCATTGCAACACATCCAAGCTGACAGACCACATGCTTGTAATCATTTTAGCACCAATATACAATATTTATGGCTTTATGAGTGTTGTTAAGAGATACTGTTTGTTTTACACAAAGTGCACTTTTCCAATTTCTAATCATTTGTCACTGGATGGGGTTTGGTCCATCCTCAAAAGCCAGGTTGACGGTTCAAACTCCTTGTCCTGCTGACTTGAAAACTAGAATATAACTGACATGAAAATTGATAACACATGTGCTTGATTTCCTTAAATTACTATGCAAAAGTCTCAAGCCACCCCCCTCATCTCTTTATATTTTGCTTCCAAGGAGCTAGACGGTCTTGTCATGTTTTAAAGTGATGTTGAACAGTATTTCTCCAGGCTTTCACGTTATTTGTTCCCATTTATTTAGTTGACTCTATAAAAAAAATGCCAAAGACAACAGAGTTTGACGGGCATAAAACAATATTTTTTCACAAACAAGGTGAGAGCTACTAGTGGAAAACATGACATGTCTCAGCATGGTGTGCTATGTGTCCTCAGAAAATCTGAGCAACCTGGACAGGTGGAGGACAAAATAAGTAGCAGGCCTAAAAAAGCCATCTACACCAGACGAACAGTATCTGAAAGTCATGTCCTTAAAAAACTGAAAGAAAAAATCCAGCAAAGACCTCAAACAAGACCTAAGAGATGCATCTGGCCCTTCAGCTGTTTGACAAGCATCAGAAATGTTCTCAGTGGAGGATGGCTGTGACAAAGCCATTCTTCAATTCAATTTATATATCGCCAAATCACAACAACAGTACCCTCAAGATACTGTGTATTGCAAGATAAAGAGAAGACAGAAAACCCCAATAATGAAATGACCCACTATGAGCAAGCGCTTTGGTGACAGTGGGAAGGAAAAACTCCTTTTTAACAGGAAGAAGCCTTCATCAAAACCAGGCTTAAGGAGGGGCGACCGTCTGCTGCAACCAGTTTGGGGGTGAGGGGAGGAAGACAGGACAGTCAGATTTTGATCCACCATGCAATGCCATGTGGAAAGCATCTGCAGCTTCAAAAAAGTAAAAGTACAAAAAACACACAACGGGACACTATCAGTCAGACTGGCCTCCCCAGAGCCCAGGCTACAACATTAATGAAGCAGTGTGGGATCATCGAGAATTCAACATAAAGGCAGCCAACTTCAGTCTGTGTTAAAGAATAAATGTGATCATATCAAACAACCTGTTAAAATTATACAAACTCTGCTTTTGACTTATATACTGTATTTCACTGGACCTATTTGCCATTTTTCTAGCACAATATTAAGAAACTGTATATTGTAACGTGTTCTTTCACAGCTTTCACCCTCTTTGTTCAGCTCACAGTGTGTATGAGGGTTGATGTGTACAGCCCGGCACATCAAGCCAAAGAAAACGAGCTAGGATTAGCTCGACTGGTCTCAACATGAAAGATATATTTTATGCCTTGAGTGTCAAAATAATAACATTCCTATGATGAACCCTGAAGCTGCATTTATTAAGACTGTTATATTTGTTTCCAATTGATGAAGTTAATAAATAAATATTTGCTGAATGTTTAAAATTTAACAAGTTGATATAAATCTGATTGATATTGTGCTTATAAAAAGAACATTTATCATTAATTAGTTAGCGACAGGCTAGCAACCTGTCCAGGGCGTAAATCCCTCACCCGGAAGTGAATGGATGGAAAGTTATAGTTAAGTAGGCGTTCACAAGGACAAGTTCACGTTTGGAGGCAAAACCCCCCTCCCCCCAAAAACAAACTCAAATACATTTTGTGTTTGAACTGAAGCTTGGTGTAGTGTTAAACTATTCCTACCTTGTGCCAGCAGGTGCAGTGTGTGAGGCAAGCTTGGCAGGCAGACAGAGGCAGGTAGGCAGCCCTGGCATCAGGCAGGGTGCAGGCAGTGGGAGACAAGGGGGACAGAGGCAGGGACACCGACTGACGGTGATAGTGGTGATGCGGCTGAGCGTAACAGATGGCAGCTCGTTCACCGCTCGGCCCTGCAGCTTGAGTTTCTCCTCCTCCTCCACTGCTTGCCTGGAACAACAAACACACACAGTACCAGGGTGAAGAGCACAAATATGACTACCTGAAACATGCTGAGTGACAGCGTGATCCATTTATCTATTCATCTCTGGTCTGCACAGGACACAAAGAAGAAATGTGGAACTACCCTCCTGCTTATTTGTAGGAGATTTTCCATCATAATGGAAGTAATTAAATTTAATTTTAGTCATATATAAGAGTTTTTCTGGGAGGAGATGTTTAACTGTGAGATTTTTCTGAGAGAATGTGGAGATACAGAAATTCTTTTATTGCTGCCATATAATCTGCATCATTATACCTGCATTAATAACATTCTTCACAGCATTATTTCATGTAATAATATTTCTCACAGTATTGATACTGCATTACAGTTGTTTATTGAAGATGTCCATTTGAGGATCCTTCCATTATGTTAACTTTTATTACAAGTACGGTTAGAAGTATTTTATACATATTGCATATCTGTGCTTATTTTGAGTTGATGTTCAGTTCATTAAGGGTCTTAAGCTTCACTGGCGTGACTGTCCAGGTGATACATGCTGAGGGAAACTAGAACATAGAAGGATAACTGCAATGCATGCTTATAGTACATATAATACATATAATCTAGGAATGTGTCTGGCCTGAGGCCTCAACTCATTTGGTGTCTTAATATATTTTATTCTACTTGGTAACAGACAATCAGAGTCAATAATTAGCCTCAGAGACCCTGAGGGCTTGAAGTTTATTACCTTGTATGGAAGGTGTTATAGAAAAGAGAAGTTGTATGTCTGCTTATAGCTATTAAAGATGTACGATTAACTGTGACTAAGGTCTGGAACCTATTTTAATCTGTCATTGACGCCATGGGGGGGGGCGTGTACCCCACTGCTTTATAAGTATCCACAACATGTATTTTGGTCAGAAGACATATGTTGATGTTTTCTCCAGGCTGTTAATAAACTCATCGTTTGATTGCACTTTTCTGGGGCTTCCGTGGTTTGTGACACTGCTCTACATTGATTGATTTCGCGACAGAGAATAACATTGTTATCACTAAAAACGATAAACTAATTCCTGCTCCTCAAAACCTTCAGTTTGCAAAGGACAGCCAATCCCAGCAGAGATAGCTTAAAGAGATTTTAAACGGCTCATTTCAGATGATTAAAGATTATCTTCAATTTTAAATGAAGCAAAGTAAAAAAAAAAAAAGAAAGAAAGAAAGAAAGAAAATATTGAGCTTGAAATAAGCACAGGTAGCTCCTCTTCAATCTATTCAGCACTGATAACCCACCACTTGTTGCTTTCACCTACAACCATGTAATTTACCTTGTTCAGTACTGAACAGCACAGACCAAGGTCTGTGGCATTCACAGGCAGCCTGTCATTTACAGTATCTCACCTGTAATTTGCTGCATACATGAATGTGCTGCACACCTGTAACCAGCTGGTGTTTCACTTGCTGTAATCACACTTTCTTTTCTGACCAGAAGAGAAACCCTCACCTCTGGCCACGCACCAGTAATAACCCTGGATGGCGAAGCTGAGGTGATCTGAATTTCCATTTTCATCTTGTTTAACTATTTTTGCAGTGGATAATCACAGGATCTTAGTAAATCCCTCAACTGGACTTATGTTATGTATTTGGGTTATATCATTCAAACTTGGTACTGTTTTCTGAAGTGCCTTTCACTTCCTCCTTTTGAGGAACCACAGAAAAATCTCACTGAAAGTCTCTTCCTCTGTGCAGGCTTTTTCCATCTGATACATAAACTGAACCTCCTGAACAGCTGTGTCAGCACCCAAGTGGGAGAATTCAAGTGAAATAGCCTCATTTCCTGTCTGATAATTGTGCATTTTCCCTCCAGAAGTTAGATCCCAGCATGTTTTGCCAACGTTTCTTGATCCAGTTCTCAGTCTGCCAAAAAAGTTGGCACACGATTTCATATCACACTCTGTGCTGTTTTAATGCACCATCTGCCAATCAAACCAGAACTTCCTCTGACACCTCTACCAATAAATACGGCTCTTGTAAACAAATAAAGTGTGAATCCCCCTCCCCAACTAATTTCTCTCCCTCTGAAGGAGTTATAGGTGCACTTTCTCACCTGCAGGATGTCCTGGATCTGGCTGAGCTGCTGCCTCAGCACCTGCTTCTGGTGGAAGCTGAAGGCGGGGTGGTTGGATGCCATGGTGAACAGCAGCAGAAACTGCTCCTCTGTCCTCCCATCGTTCAGCGCCAGGCCGTAGTTATTGATCACCGTGTCTATGTGGGTCAGGGTCCGGTACAGGACCCCCGCAGCCTCCCGGTTGTCTGAACCGAGCAGTGCGAGGGACACCAGCAGCTTGCTGCGCACCACCTCATCTGTGATGTTGGTAAGGCCCGACAGGTCGACGGGGTTGTTGGCTTTGATCTCCGCATCCCGTAGAGAGTGGTAGTCCTTGCGAGCCAAGTCCTCCAAGCACGAGCCGAGGAAACGGAGCTCGATGGGGACGCAAAGGTCCAGCAGGCCGCACAGGAACTCTGCCCTCTGGGCTGAGTTGAGTGAGGAGAACCAGCGGTACACCCCCTCTCTGTGAACACAGCTCTGGCTCTCCACCATCCTCACACACGCACTCACACTGTATGTGGACCGGTACAGTAACTACAGAATTCACTTTAAAAACGACTTGAAGGGAGCGCGCTCGGGTGTGCGCACAAATTGCGCAGGCGTCGTTGGCAAACTCAGTCCTAATTTACCAACTTAGGTTTAAGCGGCTGTTTGCCACTTCAACGTTCTCGGTGTTTGTCTGAGAGCGGCCGCAGGAGTGAAATTTAACAAGCAACGGTCGTTTCCTTTGTTGTCGGAGCAGAGACGACACCTAAGCAGGCCTTCCCGAACCAGAATCTCCCCAAAGTCGTCTCACATGGAGCCAAAGTGGACTGGTCTGCATTCACCACGGAGCACGGCAGCCCAGAGTCCCTCCGCCGTGTCCCCCTCCGCCGGTCGGACCGCGGACCCCCTGACGGCTCAGAAACAGTGGTTGCACAAAGGCAGGCGAGATCAAAACACACCGCCCCATTCAATGATACCCTCAAGCACACCGAGACTTTTTGATCCGAGCCGCCAAGCCAAAAGGCACAACAACAAGCCCTTCCTGTAGAGTTGCATGGCTTCCCAAAACTTGTACGAGGAGCCGCGGGCACCAGCCAAAGACTGTGCCGGATTTCAAGTTTGTAAACACAACTAGTAGATCCCGAAGCTACTGCTGGTTACCAGTGGAAATACCACGAGAACATTTCTTAGACATTACCTCATCAAAAGCAGCTGTGGATTAAAAAGAAATCTCACTGACGACTCTGGAGGCGTTTTTTAAAGAAGCCATGAAGGAATTTGGTGCACATTTTACTTCTAGGTTCTTCTCATTCTGCCATGAATCTTGGAAGCGAGAAAAACAGCTGTATATAACATTATCCCAACTCTGGTAACAAGACAAACCTACCACAGAGAACGGTCTGCTCTGATTGGCTGCGAGAGCTGTCTTTAATCGAGGCTCCTCCTGCGATTGGTTCAGAGCGATATCCGTTGCCCTTTTATTCCACATCTTTTTCTCATGCGTTCATACTCCGCTTAGTTATTAGGTATTTAAAGTGCCAGACACACACTCAACTGATGCTTCCAAGGCAGTTTCAGCTTCATGGAATAAAGAGAGCTGCAACAGTTGTCTCTATTCCAATATCGAATCAATAATCTCCACAGAGGAGAATATGCAGAAGAGTAGTTTCCTGTCAGTATAGGTTCACTTTTTTTTTTTTTTTTGGTAAATTCAGGGATTTTTTTTGGTAAAGTTCCCTTTAGTCTTTTATTTAGTTATCTATTTCAGTATGGCATCATCAGTGTATTTAAAAATGCATATCGTGACTTATAAACTGTCACTTTTGAGGAAGTTCTGGCACAGTATTTTACATTTCCCCTCCACTTAGAGGTGAGTTTTGCTAATAGTTACTGATCTTTGAGTACCTCTGAGCAGAATGATGTGTGTTCAAAGTTTGATACTACTTCATGTGCCTTTAAAGTCGTGTGCTGGAAGTAAGACCTGAGTTAAAGATGTGGGCAGTTTGGTGGTCTTCTGAATGAGGCTGCAGTCGTCAGGGAGTACAATTTAAGTGTATGGCGGTTGAACTGGCATTAATCTTTGGGAATGCACCATGTTTTTATCCCCTGTGACCCGTCCGTAAATTCATGTCCCACAAAAACATTTTTATTTATTTATTTTAGTATATTAGAATCTGGTCATGCTGTTTTGAGCTGGTAATGTGTCCAGCGTTTCCCCCCTGACTTTCGCCCAGTTTTAGCTGGGATAACTATCACTTAACTACTTATCCAACTTAGCTAAGTGATTCGGGGATCTGGTCGTCTTAGTGTGAATGTCAGGACCTAAGGCTTATAATAGGATAAATCAGGTTTTCCACTTCATGTCTGGGTTCCTTTTTTCCTTTTAGCTGTTGTGGCGGAACAGTGTATATATTTAAACTTTACAGCCTTTTTGGTGTAGTTCATATATAGGTTCAGAAGATGGCAGCAGATGGCTATGCTGATGCCTGCTGCAGCGGCACATTGCCGACGGACGTGGTGTTGTGTCCAGCGTAATATTTGCCTCCTCACAGATGATAAAAAATGTACACACACCCTAAAAGTGCTGCTTAAATTATGATTTACGTAATAATAAAATGCGCTAACTCTAGTGCACTGTGTCCCCTCACCTCGCCCTACAATGTAGTACTAATCTTCTTTCTCCTCCACCTGCAGTTCTCCCTTGCTCCATCGTCTCGACTGTTTCAGCACATTAGTCTCTATAGGTAAGCCCCGCCCATAAACAAAGACCCCGCCCTCTGCTGACGGAGGAAAGGTCTAAGGTTGCTATAGTAACCATACCCCTCCCTCCGAAGCAGGTTCTGTACCACTCCCTCTCTGCATCAGGGATGCTGCAAAAACTGCACATACAGAAAGTATGAAAACACAACGCAACGCAAAGAAAGAGAGAGAGAGAGACCAAAAATACAGGAGCCAAGTCGTTTTCTTTCAAACACCTTCATTATTTTTCTCCACACAACTGAAAAACAGCGTAACTCCCAGAAACGGAAAGAAAGAAAGAAAGAAAGAAAGAAAGAAAGAAAGAAAGAAAGAAAGAAAGAAAGAAAGAAAGAAAGAGGAGAGTGAAACTATAGAGAGAGAGAGAGAGAGCTTGGCATGCTATAGCATGCTGCAGACTAACAGGGTGGTGCAGGGCATCGTCACCAGGCTGATGACATACAGCAGAGCTTCTAGACCGAGGTGTTGTCAGAACATGGGGAAACGCCAGGAATGAGCCTACAGCCTGAGAAACGCTGTCGGACAGAAAAGCAACAGCAAACCTCTCTGCCCCACCTGGAAGTTGTTACTGATGGTGAGGGTTTCAGCCATCCTGCCATCCGATCATGAGGAAAGAGAAGGACGAGCACACACACACACACACACACACACACACACACACACTCTCTGAGCAGTCATGTGCACACATGGAAAGGAACAGAGGGATTGTACTGGGCGGTTTGAGAGAAATCCAGTTGATTAAAAAGCACGACAGCTGTCTGCAACAGTCTTGCGTGTCAGTAAGCGTCTTGCTCAGCAGAGGAGAAGTGAAGGAATGGAAAGGATAAATCCTCACTTGGCGCTGGCTACTGCTTACTACAACAGCATTGCATCACCTAGCTCCAACTAGGGACTTTAATCTGTGTCGCTTAGTTGAGTAAAATCAATGAGAAAGAGGCCGCTCTCCAAACTGTGCTCCTGTCAAAACCTAACATGTTGCTTCTGAAGCTTCTGAAGGTTCCAGATTCAACGCACAACTAAGATATTACAGCACATATGCATGCATTGTTGTACTTGGATCAATTTGCTCTACAAAAGCAATGCAGTTGGGCGACTAGGATTTTTTTCAGACATCTTGCAAGTATAGTATAAAAGATGTTGTCATTATCTTCAGGTTAGGTTTTAACAGAAGCAGTCGGAAAGCCGTATTTGTGAGGCTTCGATGGAAGTGGTATTTTCCTTTAAATACCTCAGCTGGTGGTACAGCAGGCGCAGGGCTCTGCCAATACACTGTGCTGTGAATGTCCACCAACTCAGAGGAAGTTCCATCCTTTGACCGGTGTGTGTGGAGGTGGGGTTGAGTGGGAGGGAGAGAGATGGAGCGAGTGCAGCTGTCGGCCGATGCTAGTCGGCTAGATGTTGCTGTGCGCCGACTCTGTCCTCGTGAGATGCTCTTGTAAAGTTCATGAACAGCATGAAAGGCCACTGTGCAATTTTGAGACCACACACACAAACACACACACGCCTACATACACAGGCATACACTGTGATGGCAAAAACATCTAAGCTTGATAGAAACTCGCATTTCACTGTGAACATGATATCCAAACATGCTGCTCCTCACACACAGTATGCGATAAAAATTAACCAGATAAAGAAGAAGAAGGATGGGGTAAAAGCAATGAGTGTGTGTGTGCATGTGTGTTTGTGTGGACAGCACATACACACTCTGCAGCTCTTGAGTGTGTCTCAGCCAACACAATGGAACATAAGCACACAACCATCAGTAACAACACCGGGGCAGGCGGAAGAACCAAAAGGCAGGAGTTTTAGAAAGAAGGGGAGGAGGGTTACAAAATAAAGAACATATCCATCAATGTATTGTACATGAGAGAAAATGTTAATAAATAAATTTTAAGTTACAAATCTGTTGAAAACTATGATTTGAAGATGAAAAAGTCTGTCTGGTCAGTCCTGTCTGTGCACTTGCTGTAAATGCCAGCTGCAGCTTTCGTGCCTGAGAATCAGGCAGCCCACTCGAGTCTTGACGTGAATCTCTGAAGCTCACTTAAGTCCAGTTTCTGGACTATATTATCTCACTGCAGTCCAGTCATCTGGACTGCTTTACCCCTCCTTTGTCCACCCCTTTGGGTTCTGCACTTCAGCATTTCTTCCAGGACGGCCGGACCAAGCTCTGCTTAGTTTGGGTTAGCCACCTTTAGCCCAAATGAGGGTGGAGCCTTCCTTGGTCCCAGCTGGTTGCAGCAATCTCACCAGGAACACGAAGGGGCAGCAGATTCGCCATAATACTCATATGAATTTATAGTTGTTGTAGCATAGGTGGGCTGACTCTGAAAGCGGTGCTGTCTTTAAATAAAAAAGTGGATAAACAAAATAGCCACTCCAATGTTGAGCAGAATCACCATGACAACCAGGATGGAGCTGTATGCCTGCGTGGGAGAGAAAGAGAGAAAAGAGAGAAAGTGTCAATAATAAAGACACACACACACACTCACAGAGCTCACAATAGAGCAATAGAGGCTGTTTTCAGTACATTCAACCTGAAAACCACTCACATTTATATTCATCTTTCTATCTCCTCATATATATATATATATATATATATATATACACCTTGAGGTGACTGTTATTGTGATTTGACGTTATATAAACAAAGCTCAATTGAGCTGAATTTATAGTGGTGCACTTTCACCCATCTCTAAAGCCCTAAACTCTCTCCCCAGCAGGATATGGCAGGTTTAGTTCAGCTTCAGCCAATATGACAGAAAGTGTGACTTTGGTCAACAAGAAAATGAGAATTCCTGGCATCAGCTAAAATACTCTAAGGCTTGGTTGAACTGGAAAACCTTTTCTTAACAGTGGAGGCTATAGTGGAGATCCTGTTTTCATTATTGCCATATTTTTAGTGCTCACACGTGATCGTCTTAAACAAAACAGTATTCATTATTCTTCTGTTTATCCATTTATTCATTTTCTTATCTAATTTATTCTTGTTCTTTTTGGAAACTGTGTTATTGCACTGCTCACTGCATAACTGCCGCTGTCAGATGAATTCTGGTATTTCATCTGTGGCGTTTTACTAGTTTACAAATCCTGTAGTTCTGGGATTTTCAGTAAAGATCATCTTGAACACACAAGTGTCAAGTTAAATACAGTGTTGTGACATTTTTGAAGACCTAGTCCTAAATCTCTCCAGGACAACAGAAGGAACTTGGAATATCTCTGCTTTTCACAATAAAAGCCCCTAGTTAGTTATGGTAAGTTACCATATTCGTTAAGGTATGTTGGACTGGCACAGTAAACAACTCCCAGTTAAAGCGAGCTTAGGATACTGACTTAAAATATGCAATACATGTTGGTTTCTTAATTTAAGCATTTCTCTCAAAGACAAAATTTCAATATCAGATCATGGAACTCTTTAAACAAATGTGAGTATTTTGTTTTTTATACTATCCTGCTTTCCTCTAAAATATATTTAAAAACTGCTGTTAATTTGCTATTTTATGATGTTGTAATAAAAGTCTTAAAAAAAAGTATTTTAAGGTCTTTTTTGTATCCATCTCTAAGCTCAGAATATATTGTTTACAGAAGAATAATACACACACATACACCAACTAATACAATATTATTACTTTTCATTCTTGTTATTTGATTTGCAGTGGAGGTGATACTGGAAAACATGACACACAAAATAATATATTATCTAAAATATCCATCCATTCTTTTCTTCTGTCGTTATCAGGGTCACAGGGGGGCTGAGTATATCTCAGCTGTCATCAGTGACGGGAATAACGGCGTTACAAGCAACGGCGTTACTTTTTTCAGTAACGAGTAATCAAACTAATTGCTATTTCTATCGTTACACCGCCGTTACCGTTACCAACAAGAAAATGCGGTGCGGTCGCGTTACTATTTTTCAACAAACAGATGGTTGAAGCTGTGTTCAGCTTATCGCGTCTTATATCAGTTCCATTGAAGTAGCTGTCTACGTAAGTAATCTGGGCGCTACAGTGATTAGCAGCTCCGCGCGCTCCCGCAGGCAGCAGTCACTTTTTGGCACAACACCTGGAGCTAAGGGGGCAAAATAATCGCATGAGTGCTGCTGTTTGACTGAGGAATACTAAAGTTGTCGTGGTAAGCCAATCACATGACCACTTCAAGATGACAAAGCAACAAGGTGATATATACCAGTTTCTAAATTGTGTCAATAGGCCACGTAAAGCCAGAGTCATGATAAACAATATATACGCGGCGTTTTTTCCTCAATAGTTTCATCACGTTTACTGTCTAAGGACAGCGCAGCGAGCACTCTCTGCTTATGAGCAAAAACAACAAAAACAAAACAAAAATCAGCCTGTTCGTGTTGATGGAAAAATGTAACATGTCGACCAATCAAAAATGATATGGCAACATGACATTTGGTTGTTTAGGAAGAGGGGGAAGTTTTAGGAGTGATGGTGAGAGAGAGAGAGAGAGAGATAGAAAGAAAGACAGCAGAAAAAGAGAGGGAGCGAGTTTTGAGATGTGAGAGATTTGCGACGTTTAGCATGTTTGGAGTGTGTAGTTAATGTGTTGTCTTGTGTAGTTAGTGTGTAGTGTTGTGGATAGTTTTGTGCTGTGTGTCAGAACAATGAGGCGACTGCTGTCTCCAGGTAGAAACAGGAGTGATACACCTGCTGCTGTCAGACCTGCAGGTATCAGGCTGTGATGTTTCCTTTATAGTGGACAGAAATTATTTTTTTGGTGGCAGGAATAATTTGTGTGGCATGATTGTTCTGTAAATAGTTTGAAATGGTTATTTAAATCAAGGTAAAAGGTAAATGGCTGCAAGTAACTTTGTTTGCAAAAGTTGTGCATAGGATTTTTAAAACTGACAATTTATATTTGCATTTAAAGTTATGAAATATGATTCATTAAACATGTTTGTGGTTGTTACAGTAAAAAATATAACTTTTTCTACTCGGATTTTATGGGTTTTTTTTGTCTGATTTTAGATCAAT